ATTTCATCATAGACATTGAAAAAAATGAATCTCGTAAGAATAGGGAGGTGGCTGAGGGAAGGCTCTGGAGTTAGACTTGGTGGGTCTGAAGCTAAGCTCTGCTGCTTACCAGCTGGGTGATCTGGGGCAAGTTTCTTGACCTTTCTGGGCTTTGGTTTTCTTTTGTGTTAAATGAGGGTACCAAAAGTACCAACCTTAAAAAGTTGTTATGAAGATTAAATGAGATAATACTTGCAAAGTGCTTGCTTAGCATAGGTAGCCTATAAATAGCACTTATTATAGTACAGCTGTTACTAAAGTATAAAAAAACTAAGTAGAGGAAAATTTCAGTTTAGGACATTGAGCTACCGTTAATTGGTAGAAGTAACAATGATGATGCTGATACCTAAGGATTATTAGCTCAGTGCTGAGTGCTGTTTTGAAAGTCCTCTGTTGCATGTCGGTGTGTGGTTATAGCTCATTCACACTGGATATATCAAGACCAAGCAGTAGAAAACATTTAAAATGGAAGTGTTTGGAATCCATTTGTAGCATGCATCAAAAATAAAGATACATTTGAAGTGATATTGGAAATTGCTGGGGGAAAGCATCTTACAGAAGTTATGTTTATGCACATTTTTGGCTTTGGCATAGTGAGCTGTGCCTCCCTGCCAAGGAACACGATTTCTGCCTGTGAAAGAGTAGGAGCTGGGAAGTTGGGTTCTGGTTTTTGCTCTATCACTGGCTTCTCTGTGTGCTTGGGCAGATCGCTGCCTTTCCCTGAGCAGGATTCTGATTCCTGAAAAAGAGCTAACTGTTAGCCCTCCTGGTGAGTAGAGTAGATAATATCTTTGAAAGCAGGTGGAGTGTTAAATTACAAAGTGAATGCAAATGTATGTTTCTTCAGTATGGAAAAAACTCTGTTAGCTGCCATTTTACAGCTAGGATTTTATTCTGTGGGCCTCTTGAGTTCTGTAATCCCCAGATAAATACTTTTTTGAAATACCCAGCCTCAGGGGCTTTTACACCCCAATATGTAGGTAAAATTCCTTGTTACTCCAGTCTGACTTCTTTCCCTTTGATCCCAGAGGAACCTGCTATGATTTCCTTCCAACACCTAATATTAAATGTACTTTCTCTCTCTTTGTCTTCATTTACCTCAAATATTCTTCTCTTGTCAATAACATTTAGTTTTGAGATACTGTGATCTTACAGCTTTGGAGTTGCTGTTATTGTTTTCTTTTTCAATCCTACTGCTTCCTGGACTGGTTTCCTGTCAGGTATGACTTAATTTTTCTTTGTGTTGCTTGGATCTAGCACTTTCTCTCTACTTCCTCCCGAATTGCTGCCCTTCCTGCCTCTAGATTACCACACTTCCTGAAGCTTCATTCAAATAGTTAAATGTACTGGCTCATAAGCCTGAGGTTTCTTAAGCGAATCAAATCCAAACTTGTAATACTTTATGTTTAAGACCCTCTGCCACATGACTCCTGCTCTCCCTCCCCCTCCACTATCTACATTTGTACTTCTTCACAGTACTGGTCAGTATTCCCACTGAGGCGGCAGACTTCTCAGACCCATCCCTTTCCCATCACACATCCTGGCATCTCTTCTTAGCTCTCACATATCAATGGTACAGCCTCAGTTATGTAGATTAATCAGGTAGGTATTTACTTAAACACAGGCTGTACTGCTCTCCGATGGCTTTTCCTGTAGAAGTAATTTACAAATGGTGATTAGCTTCTGGGTTGTCTCGCAGATACCCACTAAGCTGATAATGCTATTGCAGGACGGGATCTGTGCATGAACAACAGAAAAGAAGCATTACTTACACATTTGAGTAAGGACCTCTTTGATTTTTATCATGATAGCCTATCCCTAAAGAAGAGCATGCTTGTTTAGAGAACGAGAAATAGAAACTTGAGAATTTTCTGAGTATTTAGGAACCTTTATAGGTTTGGACACTTAAAAGTTCTAGTTATATTCCCCAGTGTCCAACTTGCCTTTTCTTTGATACTGTTGGGTCATTGAATCCTTTAAACATATCTACTCTGATTTGCTTTCTGAGGGCACAGCTGAAATGAATACAGAAGAAAACACTGGGGAGAGGAATTTTCTTGAGATAGGTGGGCAAGAGCTGAAAAGAGAGGCGTAGGGAAGAAAGATCTGTTAAGGATGACATGTGAGTGTCTGTGGTGGTGGTGTTTTGAGGTGGCATTCCTGGGACTGTGAGTGATGAAACAAGACAAGTAGGAATATGCATATCATTCCCTTGGGGATAAGCAAAGAAGTGGTGAAGAAGAGACGCTGGGCAGAAGGCTGTCCAGGTGACCCCCAAGGGGGGCCAACAGTTTGTTTGCTTTCGGGGTGGCCTGGGGTTGGGTTGGGGTGTGGACAACACGTGAGACCTGAGTGAGAGCTCTGGGGATGCCCTTCTGCTGAAGGAAGCCTGGCAGCAGGTGGGATGGCCATGCCACACGGAGAGTCTGTGAAATCTCATCAGATCAGGAAGAAAACCAGAGCTCTGGTGAGGTAGGCTTCTGATGAATTAAATTCACTAACTGGACCTGTTGGACAGATCATAGCTAATATTTTGGGGGCACTTACTTGGTGCCAGGCCTTAGATAAGCATTTTACATTAAATTTTAATTCAACAACCCTGTGAGGAAACCTATCTAAGAGGTTGTGACCCACTCAAGTTCCTCTACCAGTAAATGGCAGAACTCCCCTCCCCTCCCCCACTCTGACTCTCCCCCGCATGCCCCCGCCCCCATCTGCTTGATGCAGGCTTTCCCAGCATGCTGTCAGGTGGAGGCTATTTGGTCCAGTCCCCACATTTTAAATGTGAAGATTCAGCTCTGCTGCTTTGTTGCTGGTTAGTATGTATCTTTGTGTAGGTGTCTGCAAAACGGGCACAATATAGCTAAGAGCACCAGAAAGGGAAACGTTTTAACACTGAATTTTTTGGTTCCCCACAGTTAATTAATGCAGAGGAATTGTCCTAGAAGAGAATGTCCCTGGAAAGCTTCTAAACAGCAGGGCTTCTATAACTTTCATTTCATCTCTAAGATTATGTTCACATTTCAGTAGCATTTTTAGGGGACTTTGCTAATCACATATTCTAAATGGAGGTGAGGAGGCCATCCAATATACCAACATCCTTTGAAAGGAGACACATAAAACCCAGAGGTTAAAGGTAACTTCCCACTAACGGGAAGACTATGCTATTCCCACAAAATTCCACAAAGAAATTCTCAGGTATTCTAGGAGATGCCAGGCATTTAAAAATAAAGTGTGAGTAGAAATGTTTAAAGCTAGAAATGGTTCTGAAAAATAGCAGGGGGACCTGAGAAGGTGTTGTTGAGGGCTTGAGAGTGTTTGGGATTGAAAACATTAAGTGCCTGCCTCTGGATCCCTTAGGTTGCCGGAGACCAAACTGCCTGAGCAACTTTTAGGTCATTACCAGTAGGTACTCGGGGTGGAGGACCACTGACTTCTGACCTATTTTATGAAAGCCAAAGTTTGCATCTTTTTCTGCTCTGTCTCTCTTAGCTTGAAGAGACGAGTTTGTGCGTAGTGGATTATGAGCCAGGCTGTAGGGACAAGTAACTTTGTAAACTGGCATTAATGGAGCTGGCTCTGGCTGAGGGGAGGCATGGAGTCTCGGTGGTCCCAAGACCTGGATTTGAGCACTGGCTCAGTTATTTCTGACGGTGTGGCCTTATTCTTCACATTTGTCATCTGTAAAATGCCTCTCTCTCTCGCTCCACCTTCTTCACTAGGTGTTGTGAAAATAAAATGAGATGTGTGAATTCTCATTCTTGGCATTACTGTCCCATATGAGAAGTGCTTGCATGGAGCTTAAAATTTGCTCCTATTTTAATTTGGCATCCACAGTGAGACATATTTGAGAGGCTTAAGTAAAGCATTGAGAGCATTTAACTCTTTGTTACTGGGGAGCTGATTATTTAATTTGCAGAATTTTAGGACTTCCTATCACCTGCTGTAATACTTAGAATATAGACATGGCTGCCGTAAGAGAGAGATCGAGAATAGCAGAGGCTTAAACAACCTGGAAGTGCATTTCTCTTTCATGTAATAGTCCAGATATAAATGGTCTGGGGCAGTTTTGGGGGTGGGGTGGTACATGGAGTCAGGGACGGAGGCTCCTCGATCTTGTTTTCCCACATGGCTCTCACCTCTTGGCCCGAGGTGGCTGTCCCAGCTCTGGCCACCAGGAAGGGCATGGCCACAGCCTTACAGCCAGAGCTATTCAAATGCCCACACTTGGCTACACTATATAGTTGAGCTTAGCATCCATGCCTTCAGATAAAAATTCCATTACTGGGTAAGAACGGGGACTAAATATTGTGGGATCTGCCACAGCTGCTGGGGGTCAGGTTATCACTTCCCTTTAAGAAGCTTACATAAGATGGAAGACGGCGGTTTTCATTCACCTACTCATGTAAACAACTATGGGGTGACATTTGAGGGGGAGAACCAGGAGGTTAAGGCTGTTGGCTTAGAACAGGTTTGGAGATGATCTGTACTTTTTTTCTGTTCAGGATTTAAAGCCATTTATTATTCATGGAGCACTAGTCCCCTCTCGCTACATTCTACACCCCGTGTTGGGTACTGGGGACTCAGAGATCATGGTCCCTGCTCTCCAAAGGCCCACCCCACAGGGGGGGCAGGCATGTTCGGCATTGAGCACATGACTGTCTGGTGTGCATTCTGATGAGAGGCAGATGGGGGGCTGTGGGAGCTCATAGGGAAGACCTGCCCATCCCAAGGAAGGCAGGGCGTGTGCATAAACGTGTGCGTATTTGTGCGTGTGCGTGTATTTTGGATGCAGGATGCATAAGGTCACTGGCAGAAGGAAGTATAACTGATGTTATATCTGTATCGCCTGAAGTAGTGACGGGTCCCTGAGAGAGCAAGTGAACTGATAACGATGCTGTTTCCTAGTGTCATGTCTGTGGCTTAATGTCTTTATTTCTGTTCCTCTTTCTAGAAACTCTCAGTGTGTCTGCCTGGACGATTTGTCACAAGGAACAATGCTGCCGCGATGGGAACTGTCTTTTTACCTGTTTGCTTCACTAGGCTTCCACTTATATTCTTTCTATGAAGTTTACAAAGCTTCCAGAGGTAAGGCCCCAACTTTCCTGACCTTCTATCAAGAAAGGAAGGAGGAAGGAAGTACTCAGAGGTAGAAGATTCAGGAAGATTATCTAATGGGCTGGGGATGACTTGGCCCCTGCTTTGCTTTCCCCTCTCTGGGACACTTTGAGTCCATGATCTGAGTCAGTGCAATTTTCCACCCCAATCCTGGATCTTGGAGTGGATCCTGTAAGAGGAGGGTTTGACTCAATGGCTATTGAAGGCTGTGGAGGTGATGTGCAGTAACCTCTTCCATCTCTCTTCCATCATCATTGCTCTCAGACATGTGGAGGCAGCTCACAGTATTAGAGGCCTAGACTCCTTTGTCCTTTTGTTCTGCTGTGTTTTAGTGCTTTGTAATCTTGTTGAAGAAGAATCATCACCAAATCCACATTCCAGCCCATAGGAAGGGGGGTGAGAATCTTCCTGTCCTTTAAGGGGAGCTCAGCAAGTTACCCTTATCACTTCTGCTCACCCCAAGTTGGCCAGTGCCAGGACTTAGGCACTCACCTGGGAGGCTGAGAAACATCATCTTTAGCTTGGTGGCCGTGTGCCACTCAGACTTCCCATGTCATGGAAGAACGGGAGAAAGAAATGAGGGACCGTGATGGTCTCTTCTGTAATCAGGGACAGTTTCTTAGAGGAGATGATGATTACTTATGACGATTTTGTCGTAAGACAGAACAGGAGCCCGCCGAGTAGGGAAGATGTCAGAGGATCTGTGGAAAGAGAGGAGTTTGTAGGCAAAGGGACAGAACTTTGGGGTGTGAGGAAGCATAGCATGGTCTGGCAACTACAAACCACTCGGTGGGACTGGAGTATAGAATGTGAGGGGACAGTGGTAGGAGGTGAGCTTAGATCAGAAAGCAGGGAAAGGCTGTGAAAGACATTTCATTATTTATGTGTGGAGTCTGGCAGGAGAGTATGCTGAAAAGTCACTTAAGATGGTAAAGCGCAGGTGGATTTGGAGAAGCACAGGTGAGAGTGCTCTGCTCTGAACACCTACCTCCTTATGGATCACTGGGACTGGTTTTGATATGTATCCCCAGGATTGATTTTTCTCCCATTCTGCATATGTCCCACTCAAAGCCATGGGCTTGGGTGCAGAAACAGACCATCTACAGTAGATGAGGACTGTTCTTTTGTCCAGGCTGGCCAAGTAGTTGTATTCCCCTGCTGGAGCCTCTGAGCTCCCATGTGGGGGGAGCCAACCCTGCTCTATGTCAGGCACCATATTAGATACTACATGTACCTTGTCTCGTTCGAACTTTACAACAGCCCTACGAGATGGTATATTACTTCGAAGACAGGCTTGGCAGCAGAAACACTGCCTCCAATATAACTGTTCCAAGGCTCATATGGTGTCCAGACAGCATCAAAGAGCCTGGCTCCTTCTACCATGTCCCTCTGCCATCTTCGTCGTGTGGCTTCACCTCATGATGTAAGGTGGCTGTTTCAGCTCCAGCTGTCATGTTCACTTTTCTCCCAGAAGGGAGGATGGAAGGGGAGGACAAGCCCTCTTCTTTTCTGAGTATGACTTGAAAGTTGCTTACATCATATCCATTGACATACCATTTGCTAGAACTCAGTGCTGTAGCCACATCAACTGTGAGGGGAGCAAGTAAATGTAATCTTTGGTTGGAAGTCCCATTTATCCAGCTAAATTCAAAGGTTCTATTATAGAGGAGGAAAGAATTAGCAGCTGATTAGCTGCTAATATTAGCAGCTAGTCTTTTCCATAAATGGAGGAGGAAAGAATGGGTATTAGCAGCCAATCAGTAGTCTTTTCCATAAATGGATGTCAGTATTCCAGATTTTCGCCATTCTAGTAGGGGTGTAGTGGTATCTCATTGTTTTAATTTGCATTTCCCAGATGACATGTGATATGGAGCATCTTCATATGCTCATTGCCATATATATCTAATCTTCTTTGGTGAGGTGTTTGTTCAGGTCTTTTGCCCACTTTTTAATTGGATTGCTTATTTTCTTATTCTTGAGTTTTAATAGTTCTTTGTATATTTTGGATAATGATTTTTGCAAATATTTTCTTCCAGCTTGTGGCTTGTCACCTTATTCTCTTGACAGTGTCTTTTACAGAGCAGATATTTTAAATTTTGGTTAAGTCCAGTTTACCCATTGTTTCTTTCATAACGTCGTGTCTTGGGTATCTAAAAAGTACTTCCTAGAGCCAAGGGCTTCTAGATTTTCTCTTATGTTATCTTCTAAGAGTTCAATAGTGTTGCATTTTATATTTAGATCTATAATATCCATTTTCAGTTAATTTTTATCAAGTGTGTAAAGTCTGCATCTAGATTTACTTTTTTGAATGTGGATGTCCGGGTCCAACATTGTTTGAAAGACCATTTTTCCTGTGTTGTATTACCTTTGCTCCTTTGTCAAAGGTCAGTTTACTGAATTTATGTGGGTCTTTTACTGGGCTTTCTATTCCTCTATTTGTCTATTCTTTCACCAATGCCACAGGCTCTTGGATACTGAGGCTTCATAGTAAGTCTTAAAATTGGATGACTTTGACTTTGTTCTTCTCCTTTAATATTGTGTTGGCTATTCTGGATCTTTTGCCTCTCCATATAAACTTTAGAATCATGTCGTCAATATCCAAAAGGGACTTGCTGGGATTTTGATTTGGATTGCATTGAATCTGTACATGAAGTTGAGTAGAACTGACATTTTAGCAATATTGAGTCGTCTTCCTATCCATGAACATGGAATATCTCGATTTTTTTTTATCAGAGTTTTCTAGTTCTCCTAACATATAACTTGTATGTATTTTGTTAGATTTATAGCTAAGTATTTCACTTTTTGGGGTGCTAACATAAATGGTATTGTGTTCTTAATTGTAAATTTCACTTGTTCATTGCTGATCTATAGGAAAGTAATTGACTTTTGCATATAAATCCTGTATCCTGTAACCTCGCTATAATCACTTATTGGTTCCAGCAGTTTTTTTGTAGATTCTTCGGATTTTCTACATAGTTTTTTTTTTTTTTTGCGTACAAAGACAATTTTATTTCTTCCTTTCCATTCGGTATACTTTTTTTTTTTTTTTAAGATTTTATTAATTTATTTGACAGAGAGATAGAGCCAGAGAGCACAAGCAGGGGGAATGGCAGAGGGAGAGGGAGAAGTAGGCTCCCTGCTAAGCAGGGAGCCCTATGTGGGGCTCGATCCCAGACCCCTGGGATCATGACCTGAGCCGAAGGCAGATGCCTAACTGACTGAGCCATCCAGGTGCCCTCCATTTTGTATACCTTTTATTTCATTTTCTTATTGCACTATCTAGGACTCCCATTATGATATTGAAAAGGAGTGGTCAGAGGGGACACTTTTGCCTTTTATCCTGGTCTTAGCAGGAAAGCTTTCTGACCATTAAGTATGATGTTCACTGTAGGTTTTTTGTAAGTGTTCTTAATCCAGTTGAGGAAGTTCCCTTCTATTTCTAGTTTGCTGAGAGTTATTTGTAAATGGGTGTTGGATTTTGTCGAATGCTTTTTGTGCCTGTATCGATAAGACCATTGGTTTTTCTTTTTTGGCTTGTGATGTTATGGATTACACTAACTCATTTTTGTGAGTCTTTGTCCATGAGTTTGTTTTTAACAAACCTCTACTGGACTCAGCAGGGCAGGTCTTCCGCTCTGTGTGTTGTTAGGTGGGGCTGCAATCGTCTGGTGGCTCACTCATGTGGCTAGCCAAGACCTCAGTGGGGGGCTGTCAGCTAGCATGCAGAGGTTCTCTCTGCATGGCTCTCCACATGGTTTATATTTCTTATAACAGGACAGCTGGGGTCAAGAGGGAGTATTGCAAGTACACAAAAGCAGAAGCTACAGATCTCTTGAAGCTCAGCCTGGGAAGTTGTGCAGTTCACTTCTGCCTCATTTATTGGTGAAAGCAAATCACAGCTCCAGTCCAGATTCAAGGGGAGTAAAGACTACACCTCTTTATGGCTGGAGCAGCATGCATGTGCATGGAATTTATGGCCATCATCTTAGGAGTCTATTACAATGGGTGTTGTACGTTTTTTACCCAGATGAGGATACAGAGGCTGAAAAATATAACTTGTCTAAGGTCACACATTTAATAAGTTCTAATGGAACTGGGTTTAAACTCAGAAGTGTCCAACTTGAGACCCAATATTTCTTCTGTTCTGCCACTCATATTTATTGATAATTTAATTCCTAAAGCACCTCGTTTTAAAAGAGGAGGCCCTTTTGTCTATTCTACTGTAAAATTTTAAAATTTTATCAAAAATTGGAATAAAATGTTTCCTTTCTGTGTCCTGCTGGCTGCTGGGATGGGATCCTTCTGTGGATAGTATGAAGCTTTTCTGCACCTCAGCTGATTCAGAGGCTGTCATGCTATTTGACTTATTAGTGACCACTCCCTAGCCTGAAGCTTCTTTTATCCTCTGTTTTTCCTTTAAATGTCAGTGCCAAAGTGTTTCTCAGGTTACTCCCAAGAAATGTCTCCTTTCTCTAATGCTTTTGCCAGTTCAGCTCATGGAAGCCGGATCCCCTTGTCTTGCCAAAATATGTTTAATGGTGCAATGTTAAGTCTTCTTGGCTCCATGTCTTACTGTCTAGTTTGGCAAAAAGTGCTCCTTAGCTGCATGATAGGAGTAGGTCACTGGGAAAACTGTTTCTTCTGTAAACTTTTTTGGGATGTTTGTATCTGGAGCAAATAGAGTGCCTAGAACATAATACAGGCTCAAAACTTACCCACTAAGTGAAATGCCACCAGTGGGTATCTGCATGGCTGCTTTCTCTGGGTGCAGACCAGGCAGCCTGTTCACTGCACTCTGTCTGGGGAAGCAGGGTTGTCAGGCCATTAGGGACAGCAGATTGATTCTAACGGCCTTCATCAAATGGAATCTTTTGGTAAATTCACAACAGGGACTGAACAGAACACCCCTTCTTCCTCCCAGCTCTACCAGGTGTAGAGCATCTCTAAGTCACGTGGAAATACTTGGGTTG